TACTCTATCAATTTGTGTGTTGATTGGATTTAATAATTTTTATTGCTATTTTAAGTATAATACATTGAACCCTTGACTTACAAACTCAATCAGTTCCCAAAGGCTGGCTGTAACTCAAGTTGGTTGTAAATCAATACAGCTGAGAACTGAATGTTTACTTGCATCCACCTTATAGATAACAAGAGGCAGATGAATCTTCCATTAACCTAATTAACCCAAGTTGTTTGTATGTCAGGCTGTTCATAACCTGAGAGTCCACTATATCTCTCCCCTTTCCATTTTTAGGTGATTGTTGTTATTATAGATAAAGTGGTTTTATATACTCATTTTCTATTTAGTTCTGTTGTTTACAATAATTTTTATTTTTATTTTTTTTAGGTACTGGGGATCGAACTTGGGTCCTTGTGCTTTCGCAGCAGGCAGCAAAACCACTGAGCTAAATTCCCGGCCCTACAATAATTTTTTAAAAATTAGTGTGTTGCAGATTTGGAATGTATAAAATGGCCAACAACAAAAACAACAGAAGAAAGTTTTTATCTTTTCTGTTATTTATGTAATTATGAAATTTCTTTAGTATATTATTATTCATTACAACTCTAGGACCAAAAAAAAGAACTCTATGATGATCTTGAGTAAATGATGATAGGTGACATCCCTGTCATGTTCTTTATTTATTTATTTTTTTTGGTACCAGGGATCGAACTCGGGTCCTTGAGCTTGCGCAGCAGGTGGCGAAACCACTGAGCTAAATTCCCGGCCCTGTCATGCCCTTAATTTAATTAAAATGGTTTTAATATTTTTCCATTTATAATATTTACTGCTACCTTTGTCATAAAAGTCTTTTCCCATTTCCCTAGTTTTTACTGATATTTTGCTTAATATATTAATGATGACTGCCTCCTGTGAAGTTCTTTTTTAGCCTCTATTGATATGGTCATATGGTTTTTCTTCTTTATTATGTTGTGGGATGTATTATATTAATCAATTTCTTGACATAGAACTAGACTTACATTTTTTGAATAAACTTAATCATAATATATTATCTGTTTAGTACCTTGTTAACTCTATTCTTAAATATTTTATTTATGTTTGCATCTACATTCATGAGATTTAATTATGAAATTTAGTATCTTTTTGTTATCATCTTTAGCATGTTTTGTTTTGTTTTGTTTTGGAACCGGGCATTGAACTCTGGACCTTGTGCTTGTGAGGCAGGCGCTGGAACCACCAAGCTAAATCCCTGGCCCTAGCAGGTTTTTGTATTATAGTATCTCTTCACAACATGAATTGGGGGAATTTTCCATATTTTTCTATAAGTTGTAATCTTTTATTAACACAAATTTTATATTCTTTAAAGTTTGATAGAAAGATTGTGAATACATTATTTGGTCACATCACTTTTACTTTTTTTTAAAGTTTAGATCTTTATAGACTCCTCCGTGGTACTAGATCTATACATGTCTTCTATTTCTTCATGGGTCAATTTTGGTAATTTCTGTTTATCTAGGAACTTATTCGTTTCCTCATAGTTTTCAGATTTGTTTCCTTAAATAAACATGTAACATTCTCTTTTAATTCATTCATTGTTTCCTGTTTCAGGGTTATATTTATTTTTTCATATCTTACCTTGTAAGTTTTTGCTGTCATTTTTTTCTTTTATTAGATTCTTTCTGGGTCTATCTACTGTTACTATTCTCCCCCCAGGGGACACATTTTTAATTCTTCCTTTGTACCATTTAATTTTTTCTGATAAATTTTTGACTTCTGGTTTCTTTATCTAGTTTTGAATGAAAAATAACTTTTTAAAAAAAATAGCTTTCGCTGTGTCCTGTAGATTTGGAATTAAAATTATATCAATTAGGACACATTTGGCTACAAATAGCAGAATACCTGTCAGTCAGCTTTCTTGTTGCTGGGACAAAATACCTAACACCTACAATTTAAAGAGGAGAGGTTTAATTTGCCTCCTGGTTTCTGAGGATTCAGTCCATGGTCAGCTGGCTCCCAGGCAGAAGCATCATGGTTGAAGGGACCGGTGGAGCAGGGCTGTTCAACCCATGGCAACCAGGAAGCAGAGAGCAGGGGGACAGGGACCATGTGTAGTGCCCAAGCTCACTCTTCCATGACCCGCCCAGGCACACCAGAGGCATGCTTTACTCAGTTCTCAAGCCAATCAAGTTGACAGTGAAGATTAACCATCCCAACAGCCAAGGAAGAGTAACTTGGATAATGCAGACATTTATTATTCACTTAACAGGACTGGAAGTAGATATATTTCTAAGGTAGATGTTTCCATGGGTTAACAATGTCATCAGGGACTCACTTTTTCTAGCATTTTGCCTCATCCGCAGTAGCGCCTTGGCTTTTTATCTATCCTCATGCTCATGGTTGCAACAAGGCTGCCACAGTTCTAGACACCACGTGCTTTATCCCACTTATAAGCAGGAAAAACAAAGGAGGAGAAAATGGGATTCATTTCTCCCTGCCTGAAATGTCTTTTTAAAAAACTCAGAATGTTCTATTAACATTTTCTTACTTTGATTGTTTATAATTGGGTCACATGGCCACTCCTAATTTTGAGAGATAAGACGTACTTGACAGCTGGGCGTGGTGGCATGTGCCTGTAACCCCAGCACTCAGGAGGTGAGGCAGGAGGATCGCCACCAGTTTGAGGCCAATCTGGGCTACACAGTGAGTTCAAAGCCAGCCTTAACTACAAAGCGAGACCTTGTCTTAAAAAAAAAAACGTGCCTGGCAAGGGGAACAGGATTACATGATTAAGCAAATCATGACTGATCCCCTGGGCTTCCAACATTGTCACTCTAGCTACTAGAGACTAGAGATTCCAAATAGTTTTCCCTTTGTGTATTTGACTTCTGTTTTTGGTGCATACAAGTTTGTGACTGTTAGATCATATTCTTCAGTTTCTGCTTTATATCATTACATTAAGTTCCTCTGTTTGTTTTTTGAGATGGGATCTCCATACATAGTTTGGGGATGGTCTTGAATTCACTATGTAACCCAGGCTGGTTTCAAACTCTTGGCAATATTCTCCTGCCTTAGCATCCCAAATGCTGGGATTATAAACTTGTGCCCACAATGCTTGGCTACATTAAATCCCTCTTTAACTTGCTTTAAACTCAACCTGTGTCAAATTGTACTTTTTTTCTTTCTATAGCAAAACATTTATGGTACATTTTAGGCATACATAATGATAACACTCATCGTAGGGAATTTGCACCTGTACATGATACATCCTGCTTCTTTTTTCCCATTCCCCTCACCCCTCAAGCCCCCTCCCCTTCCTATGTACAGAAGCTTTGTTTCCATTTTTTCCTTCTATTTTTTTCTTGTCCCTTCCTTCCTTTCTCCCTCCATCCTCCCTTGTTCCCCTTCCCATCTGAACATTTTCTTCCTATTTCCCAATATCTATTACACATTTTAGTCCTTATTTCCACGTTTAGTTTCTCACACCAAAGAAACAATGCAGTATTTAAACATGTGTCAAATTTATTTCACTTAAGAGTATGGTCTCAAGGTCCATCCATTTAGCTATAAATGTCTGAAGCTCATCCTTTTTATGGCAGAGTAGTCCTCCACTGTACAACCCCCCTCCCCCCAAACATTTTCTTTATCCATTCCTCAGTTGTTGAGTGTTTGGGCTGTTTCTAAGATTTAGCTATTACAAACTGTGCTGCTATAAACATGGGTTGCACTCTTTCTTTCTTTGTTTCGTTGTTCCTTTTTCTTTTGTTTTTGAGACAGAGTCTTACATTGTTGCTACATTACCCAGACTGGGCTCAAACTTTCCATCCTCCTTATAGGCGTGTGCCACCACACCCCACTTAATATTGGAACTCTTGCTTCTTAAATTTTAAAATTTCCTGATCTCTTTTTTATCCCTGTATTTTCAACCTTTCTTTTCCTTCTTTGTCTTCTCCCTCCCTCCCTCCCTCCCTCTCTTCCTTTCTCAGTGTTTCTTGTAAACATCATGGAAGAATTTCTTCCGTTCACATTTAGTGTGATACTCTTGACTTTCCTCTCTGATCATTATTTACTAGCTTGTTTCCTTCCTGCTTCCCTTTTCTCCACTCGGGTGGTGCACAGTGGCAGCAGCCAAGACAGAGGTTCTGTCTGGGTCAGCGTCCAGATGCAGGGGTGGGTGGTGGGACCTGACCAGCTCAGCAGCATAGCTGGGGCACCTTCCTGGCTCTGAGGCCCCAAATCTAGGCCTCCATCTTTCCTGGGGATTCAGTGAGCTGCCCAACAGTTTTACATTGATTTTTTGTTTTATTTTATTAGCAGAAATTGGTGCTTGTTGTTTCAACTAAGAACTCTGAATAATGGAATTCCAAGTTTATAGGTATTTTAGTTTTTTGTTTTTCAATCAATTCTACAGGGCATCTCTCCTCCATCGAGTTTCATGTGGACAGTAGTACAATGAAAGCATCTGTCATTGCAGGCAGAAGGACAATGAGAACATTTCCCAAACTTTGGGGCCCACGTGTAGCCTAGTAACCAACATGTCAAGATGTCAAAACACAGATTTTCCCAGGAACACAAGCTTGCACTGCTTGTTTGCCCTTCACAGCCAAGAATAAGTTGGCACAGGTCACCCTTGGATCCATCCTGTCCCCTACCATAAAGGCATCCCCCAGGCTCCAGTGTACCCACTGTCTCTCACGGAGTGCGCTTCCGTACATTTCCTTCTGCACTTACTCAAATCTTGGTAAATGTTTAATCGCCCTCCATAGGCCACCAAGCCCCGCATTTTACTCTTGTTTAGATGCATACTAGAGACCAAGAAGAGACAGAGGACGGCTGGAGCACAAAATAATCCAGCGATTCCACACTTGACAGGGAATTCTCCCACAAACGTCTTTCCAGGTTCCGTAGAAGTCTTTTATTCTCATTTTTATAAGAAGAGCTGATTCCTCCCTTAGAAAGTAACCCAGGTTTTGTGAACTTTAAAGTTATCTTTATTGTTTTAATTAGAAAATTACAAATTCATTTATAAAAAAATGAACATAGAATAAATGAAAGAGGTAAGAAAGGCTTTCTGGACATGGAAAAGGCCCAGGCTTGGGATGGAGGCCAGGTGTGTGTGGTATCCCGGGGCGGTCATCTGGGGTCCCTTGATGACACTGGGGGTGAGGTGGGTCCAAGCTGCAAATTTCTGAAGTCATTTGTTAAGTCATCCACACCCCAGGACTAGAGAGAGAGAGAGAGAGAGAGATTAGGATGTGCCCATGGGAGAGAAACTGCAGGGAGAAGGGAGGGGGCGACAGTGATGTACTAAAGGGCCAGGAGGCCTTGAAAGAAACAGAGGAAAGGGAGAGGAGGAACTGGGGGTCCCTGGTGGGAGAGGAGAGGGTGTGGGGGAAGCAAGAGGAGAGGAGGGAGCTGAAGGAGGGGAGCCGGGAGGGGACTAAGGAGGGGCCTGTGAGGTGGGGGCAGGGCCTCACCCTCAGGATCTGCTGGAGGCGCCTTTTTAGGCAGCTGCTGTAGTATTCCAGCTTGGCCCAGGGCGGCTCAAAGGGCCCTGGCTGGTGGTCCACAAAGTTGTCCCAGCAGTAAGCAAACTCTGAGAGGGAAAGGGGAAGCCAGGAAGAACTGCACCCGGGCAGGGCCCTCTCCCTCCCTCCTTCCCCTCCCTGGGCGTCGTTCACTGCCCTGAATGTCTTCCAGGGAGTGTCAAACCTTGGGCCTCAGCTGGGCCACCGTACTTCTTTTCTGCCCAGCTCTCCTCTGTCCACCTGTCACCCCCCAGTCCCACCCTGTGGCCTCTCCTCACCGGTCCCTCCTTCCTACCTGGGTGGCCCATGACAGCAACTGGGACCTGGGCCCTGCACAGGCGCTGCAGCCCCTCCTGGTAGCTCCTCTTCCAGTGAAAGAACAGCCGGGCGGTGAAGATCTGCAGGCGCAGGTGCGGGTGGGCTCTTTTAAAGGAAACCAGTTCCTGGGCGCAGTGTGGGCAGGGGCTCCATGTGAGGAAACAGGTGACTTGGTAGCTCTGGTCTTGGCCCAGGTCCATGGAACAGATCCTTTTAATAAAGCGGCTTTCTGCGTGGTAACCCTTCTGGAGGGGTCCCAGACAGAGAGGAAAGGTTAGAAGGCAGTGGCCACGGGTCCCGTGGCTGGGGTAGGGCTGTGGGTGAGGGGCTGTGTCCTGCAGACACTCTAGTGTGGGACCCTCACCCAGCATAGGAAGAAGCTCCTTCCTGCCTCCGCTCACTCATCCACCGACTCTGCATCCCCAAAGCTCCCACGGCTTTTGTTTTTTTGCTTTTTGAGACAGGGTCTACGTATTTCAGGCTGGTCTTGAATTCACTATGTAGCCCAGGGTGTCCCAAGGCTTTGGACAAGGATTCCAGTGTGCACAGACAGGGTGGGCTCAGCCAGACCCCACCTCCAGGGCGCAGTGCTCTGTGACCATGATGTGGGACACTTGGCTTCCAAGGGCTGCCCAAAGGTGTTTGAACCAGCTGGGCACAGTGGTGCATGCCTGTAATCCCAGCATGTAAGAGGCTGAGGCAGGAGGATCTCCACAGTTCAAGGCTATTGAGAGTGAGAAGGGGAGGGGGAGGGAAGGCTGGCAGACATGAACTTCTCCAGGAGGGCAGGAAGAGTGCTGGGCAGAAGGGCAGAGCCTCTGCTAGGTCCTACAGCTGCAGGCTGGAACCCAGCAGAGGTCCAGAAGAAGGAGGCATTCAAGTGGCAATTGAGGACGCCTTGCATGACACCAATTATCCCTGCACACCAGGTGCGTGGCTGAGTCCCGCCTGCCTCACGCCCAGAGCCTGTTCGCACCTTGGTCCGAAGGCAGCCTTTGGTCAGCGGGTCGCCGTTGGCCTCTTGCAGCTGGTAGCACAGGTATGTCACCCTGCGGCGGTAGGGCTTTGGGGCCTTGTATGCGTTGTTAAACTGGACTCGGAATGTCTCTTCTTTTAGAGTCATCTCCCTTCTGCGTAACAAGGAGAAAACTGAGATGCAGTGTCCTCCTGAGCCCCCTGGGGTTGCGGTCTGCTCACCCTCTGGCCCTACCCTGTGGGGCCTTCCCCAGCCCCTGGAAGGTGAGAGGCCCCTGGGGAGGGAGAAGAGCAGGGGCTTCCGGGAGCAGCAGGAAGAGCTGAGTTCTTTCCCACCTGTGCTTCCTCCTGCGCACCCAGCTGGCCGAGCACCCCTGCAGCTCAGGGGACACACTGCCCGTGCCATCCTGGTGCCTGGGCTGGGTGAGGGGCCCCTCCCCGAGAACTGTGGGTGCATCCTCCTCTCACACAACTGTGTCCCTTTGCTCAGCATCACTCACACGCCTGTGTCCTGAGTCCCATCCCTTTTCTCTGGCTCGGTGGCTCTTCTGTAAGGCAGGTGAGGCAAGGACAGGCTGGCTGGGGCCGTTGTTTTTGATCTCTAGTTTTCCAGGCGGATTATTTTCTCGCTATGTCTTTTGGGGGAAACATGGTATCTATAGCAAAGCCAGGGGCACTGGAGGCGACGGTGATCATGTATGGCCCAGCTCGTGTAGCCTCTAAAATGAGGATTTTTAAATTGACAAAACATGGGTGAGTCTGGAGGGCTGATTAGGTTTCTCCTTGGAGACAGCGTCTCACTTTAGGTAAACATTCTGCCTCTGCAGTTTTGTCAGGGGCTCATAAGGGTTCTGTGGGAACACACAGGCTGCAGAAGGGAACAGTTTACTGTGCCCCAGGCCTGTTTTGTCACCCTGGCCTTCCGACCTACCACTGTCTGGCTATGTGGTCCCTAACTGTCTCAACCTTGAAGAGCTATAATGGTAGGTATGCTAAAAACCACTTACAATAATTATTTAAAGACCAGTTTAGTTTTTGTTTCACATGGGTACCATCTTTTTTTCCTGAGGAAAAATAGACCCTCCTATCTTGTGTGGACTTTTTTCTCTACAGAGCACAGATTATAGAATTACGAATCTTTATGATGAAATATACAGAGATGCCTTTACATGGTCTCAGCCATCCCTCAGCCTCAAGTCTGCAGCTGAGCTTGGGAAGGCTCTGAGAAGCCCGTGGCCGCACTGTGGTCTGTCCAGGGACCTAAAGACACAGGATGTGGGGCGTGGCTCAAAGAGGCTGGGGCCAGAGAGCTGCAGAGTGCCTGGCCCCAGCTGCCTTCCATCTGGCCTGGCTCAGCACCTCCTGGACTGTGGGCTCTTTGGTTTCATTTCTGTCTCATGAGGGTGCCTACAGCCATGGGAAAGTCCCTTGTCTATGACAGTCCTACAGCGATGTGAGCAGGTGCCACCTCCTCTTCCTGCCTTGTCACCCAGAGAAGGAGCGTCACCTCCCTTCACCTCTGCCCACCTTCTCTCCTACAGACCCTGAGTACCTGCTCTGTGGCCCAGTTGAGCCTCCCTGGCTGACTCGTCCCAGGGCTGCTGTCTCTAGTGCTGAGGCTTCACTTCCTGCTCACAGGGCCCTTGCTTTGGGAGGCCAGATCTGTGAGTGACCAACCAAGGCCATCTGCCTGCAGACCCCACCCTCTTCCTGCCTCAGCCCAGAATGGCCGGGCCAGGGTGATTCAGCAGTCTGAGGCTGAGACCCACCTTCTCTCCTTCCCTGTGTCCCTGGCTTGCCACAGCCGGGCCTGTGTTGGAGACAGGGCCCTCGATGTACAGGACACAGGGGTTGGAAAGGGAGTCACTGATGCCAGTGGCAGGGAAGCAAGGCCCAAGTGGAGGCACTCAGTGCTGTTCAGGTTCCCAGCAGGACTCGGCACAATGCAGGGGGCTGGAGGGGAGGGCACAGAGGCAGGTGGCCATCCTGTATGTCAGTCCCCAATACAGCAGGAGAGGGGACCAAGGCTTTGACATCTCAGGGGCAGTTTCAAGCACAGAACAGCTAAAGTATTTGTGGATACAGCCAGGGTGAGGTCATTTTGGCCTCTGTTAGGCCCTACATGAGTCACATACTCTTTTCAAATGAGCTGCTCCTGAAGCCTGTAACAAAAAGCCATTAACATTCCTACAAACAACAAGCATGACCATTACATTACTCTATAAGCTGGATGCCAAACTGTACAGTAAAGATAACATACATCAAAGACTTTCTAGGATACAAACAACATGTGGTCTGACCTTTCTTCCCTAACTTCCTTTTCCCATGTTCATGGGTCATATCTGTAACTTCTTAGGATGGAGAAACTCTTACAAAGGTCCCTGCTTTATCCCAGGTAGTGGGACTCAGGTCTTGGAAAATTATTATTTTTGACCCATGGCCCTCCATTCATAATTTTGTGTCCTACCCGCCCCATACTGGGGATCTAACTCAGGACCTTGCACTTGCCAGGCAAGGGCGGCAGTGCTGAGCTACATCCCTGGCCTTTCCGCTCACAATTCTGAACAGCAATACTCACGCAGCAAGTAAAAGGCAGAGCCCCCACTGGCTGCTTCTGGATTCCTCCTTGAACCCAGGAAAAGATGGGGGAGGTAGCATAAGGAGAGGGGACTTGCTGCCCCTGCAGGCCTCCCAGGCCAGGGATTCAAGGACCTGGACCTCACATGTGCATTCTAGAACCATCCGCCTGCCTGGGCACAGGTCAGCCAAGGACTTGAGATTCGAAAACAAAGAGCTCGTTGTGAAAGTTGAATCCTGAGGCAGGGAGGAGTGGCAGCCAGCACCGGGCACCTCTATGCCAGATGTATCAACCCTGTTCCTTGGTTCAAGACTAGTACACTAAGTAAATTTGATTTTGCTCTTATTCATTTTCTTTTACACTTTCCTTGGAAAACTTTATAACTGTTGTCTACTAACATTCTGTAAGACGATGACTTCCAATAAACAACTTAAACAGTATGTGACACAAACTCCCAATATTAATACTAACTGTGATGAAATAAAAAGGTCCCACTGTCTCATTTTATATTTCAAAGAGCCCAATTTCCAAAGAGGGTCACAATAATCAAGACTAAGGCCCACTGCTCCCACTTCAAGACTAGTGTCACTAGTCTAGGTGTTCAACAAGTGAGGCTTAAGGCCAACGTTTAAGAAGATGGGAAGGGGAAGAGGACAGCCAATAGTTTGGCCTTTGCCCTCCATTGTCAGCCAGGGAGACCCCTCTAAGATGACCCTACAATTCTGGGGAGTCACCCAACCTCCCAAGCTGGGGGACTGTTGGACCTCAGAGGACAGGAGTCAATCAGTGTACATTCTGCAGAAAGAGTGTTACTGAAGAGGAGAATGTCCCCATGCTCCTAAGTGAAGCAAGAACGTGGCCCATGCTGGTGGATGACACAACAGGCAGAGGGGAACATTAGAGGCGCTGACGGTTCCTGACACAGCCCCATAAGAAACCCTCCAGGAACCCTGACTGATCCTGACAAACAAATAGATTTTGACCAATACAGATGTTATTTTGACTTGGTATTAAACATCCAGCAGAAAAGTATAACCAAACAGTAGAATAATTAATAGTCCTATAAAAACAGAGAGCTAAATTGGATCTAAAAAGAGGCTCCAAACCCTGCATCAACTGTTACTGCTAATCTCCATCCACACCTATGACATCTTAACCTACTGCCACGAGAGGGCCACATGCCGAGTACCACAAGCTTCTCCAGAAATGTGTCCTTCAGCCTCTCAGTATATTGCCATTATGTTATGTTCATGTACATTCAAGTATCTCTATGGTAAAAATTTGGCTTCTTGTATAGGCCTGGCTATAAGATAAAATGCCAATATGAATAGTCTAGTTACTAAACATTATTACGTTTGCAATATAAACTAACTTCCTCTTGTCTACTTCAGATTTTATATATTTATGTTATCGAAAGTCAGTCACTAAACAGTATTTAAGCCTACAAATTAGAGGCCAGATCCCAGGTTCTGAGCCTTATAGTAAGAAATGTAATAGCCAATGTTCACATCAAAACAGAGATATCTTTAGTTTATTCCTTGGGCATATTGTAATTAAAGTAAAAGAATTAAGATTTCTTGCTCAGATTTAAAATGATGGAGACTGACAGCAAAATACAGCCTCTCTGGACCTGGAATTGAAATATCTGGAAAACAACAACTTAGTCAAGAAAAATGTAGATCTCTGGGAATCAAGAAAAGGCAGACAAGAAAAATAGAAACTATGAAGAAAATGCAGACAAAAGAATAAAACAGTCTGGAACACTAAACCAGGTCCTTGGGGAGATTTTGTCTCCAAAAACACAAGGCAAGCCCAGAGAGGGTCGACAGCCCCAGGCAGAAACAATGCACAACAATCTACCCCAAGAAAAACCACCGGATTGTAAGCTGCAAACACAGCAAGGGGTTTTACTCTGAAAGTGACTCCTTCCACATGGCAGGGTACAGTTGAAGAAATTCACTGCAGCATTCAACACACTTAGGAGTGATGCAGCCAGAAGCCATCTTGGAAAGAGGTTTATTAAAACTGAGCTACTCAGTCAGAAGTCACAGAACAGCCTTACTTCAGGGTCTCTGGGGTCACTCTGCCACAGGGGGGAGACAGACACAAGAGATAGTCACACAGAAGGGGTGGGCTGGTCTCAGATTCCTTGAGAAGTTTAAGCAGTGGTGAAGGACCTGCCGGTTCCACCCTCTGTGGTGAGAACTCGGGCCAGTCATGTGCTTTTCTGAAGGGGATGGGTCTGAAAGTGCTGACATTAAGTCCAGCAGACTGTTTAGCCCTACTTGCGGCCTACTTTCAGCACAGAGCTCAGTGGTCTGTTTGCTTTTCCCATCTGACAACATTATCAGGGATTTCCTTTGGCCTGGATAGTTGCCACATTCCAGGGGTGTATGGACAGAAGAAGAAATTTCATGAGCCCACAGGCCACAAAGTTAGTTGGGAGGGCCGGGGATTTAGCTCAGTGGCACCACACCTGCCTTGCAAGTGCAAGGTCCTGAGTTAAATCCCTGGTACCAAAAAAAAAAAAAGTTAGTTGGGAGATCGCAGTGACTTGGGGTACATGATGTGGGACAC